GGGGGGGTTTTTTCTTTTTTTTTTTTTTTTTTTTTTTTTTTTTTTTTTTTTTTTTAAACTTTGACTTGTTAAGGGTTTACGAAGTGCTGAATTTGATTTTTAACAACAGATAAGGTGTCTTGTGTTGAAATCTGTGGCAGCCAATTAGATGCTGAATGGATGATGATAGTTCACTGAAAACCCTCAGGCAGTCAGAAGCTTGCTGTGTCTTGGTTTTCAGTAATAAGCTTACTTGTAAACTCATCCAGATAAGTTTTTGGTGGTAAAACCAGTGTAGTGTTTTGGACTGACTGCAGTGGCACTGACACACTGTTCCAGACAGCCGGTAAGACATCATTAGATTTGGAATATGGCAAAAACACACTGTCCAAGTTCAACATCTTCCTTCTGCAGGCTTCAGAGATGATGACTTCTTAGGAGGTCGGGGCAGAGGGACTCGTCCTGGAGATCGGCGAACAGGTCCTCCACTGGCAGGGGGAGGGACTGGCCGTTTTAGAGATGGACCTCCCCTCCGTGGGACTTCCATGGACTTCAGAGAGCCAACAGAAGGTAGAAACCACCATTGAAGAACCTACATCCCCAGTAAAACTAACGTAACAGTCTTTGCTTCCAGTTTTTAAGTTAATGTCTTCAATGGCAATTTCACAATCTTATTTTTCTTTTTCCAGAGGAAAGAGCACAGAGGCCCCGACTTCAGCTCAAACCTCGAACAGTTGCTACCCCCCTCAATCAAGTAGCCAATCCTAATTCTGCTATATTTGGCGGAGCCAAGCCCCGAGAGGAAGGGGCAAAAGAGCACGACTGAGCTTGGGGTTGAGAGGGAATGGGAGTGGGGAGGGGTGGGTGGGGGGCGGGCAGGAGAATAAGCAAGACAGCACAGAGTGACTAGCTCTGCTGGAATGTCAACCCTGCAGTTACCATTCCTGCCATCTGACATTTTGTCCTCTTTGAAACCGAAAACACAGAGCTTGTGAACGCATGTCAGCTGTTAACAAGTGGTTTTTAGTACGTTCTTGGCTTTGCTGTATCTAGTGCCTGCTTTGTGCTAAGTTTTCCCTCTTCTCTGTTTCCTTCCAAGCAGCACAGTTTCCAGTAGATCATTTAGTAGCTGCTTCCACCTGTGTGAAGGTCCTTCTGGACAAAGGTGCTGCTTTGCTTCCTCTTCTGGGTTTGTTTTACTTTAGAAGCATAGGTTAGACTCGGTTAATATTCTGTGCCATTTCCTTTTGGCTTCCTCAATGCTCCTTTTCTGCCCTGCATGTTTTGTTCTGAATTGCTGTGGCTCTAAAGAGGTAAACTGAAGAGCCCTGGCAAATTGAACAGTTCAAGTAGCTTGCACAGCCCTGACCCTGTAGAATTAGATGCCGTCTGTGACAGTGGCTAATAGGATTACCACATACCACAAGAGCACTCGTTCTGAAAATAAAAAAGTCCTTTTAGGCAGTTCACAGAGAAGAGTCTGCTTCTCAACAGGTAGAAGTAAAACAATTTGCAGGCAGGCCTAATTTAGTTAATGACATTTATATGAAGAAAGCACTTGCTTCAGTAGGCATACCTTGAGGGGAAAGATGCATCCCACTATTTTGTAACTGGCTGTCTACAAGTAGTATAATGTTGCACTCTTGAGCTTGAGGTTGGTGCTATAAAGCTGTGCCTATTCTAGGACATAACTGCTGACTGGCTCTTTCTGCTTGTAATTTGAGTTTACATGTTTGGTAAATTTTTAAAATAAGTTTCTACAAATAAAGTTGACTCTTTTTTTGTTTATTTAAAGAGTGTATAATTTGCCATGCCATGTATGTGTATCTGCCACCATCTTCTGTACATCTTGACCCAGTCGTGTACAGCTGACAGTAACTTTGCTTTTGGAATGGCCTCTGAAATGGGCAAGATTTGAATCTTTACCTCTTTCATGATTTGAATTCCACTGCTTAGTGTGTAGAGATTTTTGGTAACAGTTTCTCCAGACAACAGTTGCCTAACCTCCTTGACCCTCAAAAGCACTGTTGTCAGGGTTGATGAGGACATGTGAGAAAAGTGATCCTGAATAGTTTGTCATGTAAAGAAAAAAAAATACAAACCTTGGAGCTCTAAAAAAAACTGAGAAGACAAGTCCAGTGTGAAATAACTCTTGGGTTCCTGACATCAGTGCTGACAATTTTCAGATAGCAGGCAAGCAACAAACATACTAGAGTACCTCAAAGAGGACATGAGTTG